GGAGGGGGGCTAAGGGGGGACTGAGAAAGGGGTGGTTGGTGGTGGTGGTAGAGCGATTGTTTCCGTTAGGCATTCGAGTTTAGGAGTCACGCAGGGCGTCGGCCTCAGGCCTCTGGTGCTGGGCCATGGTGGGGCTTGAGGTGCGAGGAGATGCACTGCGGTTCCTGGCAGTAGGGGTAAGACCGCCGTGCCCTTTCCACTCAGCTCAGATGTGAGCTCAGACACAACAGTTCCCAGGGAGCCAAACCAGGAGCCTATTTACCAGCCCTGCCTGGACCAACCTGCTCATTTGATGGACAAGGAAACTGAGGTTAAGAGGGAACAAGTGGTTTTCTTAGACCAGCCTGGGGCTGAAAATTCAGATTTCCTGTTCTCCACGCGGCTGTGGAGTGTCCGCGAGTTCCGGGGCTCCAACGGAGAAGGGCTGAGCACGCCCATGAGCTGCCCTGCAGGGTGGGTAGCGAAGCAGGTGTGGCAGGGACACAGCTCACGAAAGGGGGAAGGGTGGGAAGGAGAAGGGGAGGTAAAGAAGGGGAGATGAGTGAGAGGCCACAAAACACCCAGGCTGGACCATGCCCTCTAACTGGCACTTGAGAACGTGGACCAGGTCGGACAGGCAACCACCTTCTCTCCCCTCCCGAGGAAGTTCAAAGGCTCTGTTCAGTTCCGTGCCGGGTCATTCTGAGAGTGAAGCAACCCTGTCCTGTTAATACTGGAGAAAGCCCCAAGGCCAACCAGCAGAAGCCAGCTTCTTTCCCTCCTGGTTGGAGATTTAAAAACCATGAAATGAAACATAAGGAAACCTCTCTGGGGGGATCTTCAGCAGTGAAGGAGGGTAGTCAGGACAGGGATACTTGGGAAACTATACGTGTTGCTGAAAAGAACAAACAGGGCCACATCTGAGATAGATTGTGATGGTCTCCTATGCCCCCCAGCTCTAAGCAGCTGCTGGGTTTCTTGCATTTATGAAATGTTTTGGTCACTGGCAAGAAACGTCCCTTGGTTTATTTGGTTTAATCCAGGCCCTGCAGAACTCACCCCAGGGGTGGAGAGCCATGGGGGGCATGACTCTTGGGAGATACCCCAAGCTCTGATCCCAGGGGTGAGCTGCACCAGGGCCCCCTCCCTGATTCTCTCTCTCTCTATTCGATTTGTTTTCCAAATCCATATATATGAAGACATCTGGGGGAAGTTGTAGAGTCTCTTCAGGATACAGAGTTGGGGGCAGGTACCCTGGGTTCTTTGGTACTTGTCTGGCAAACACTAAGTACACTGTGCACCCCCCACACCCAGTGGTGATGCCTTTCTTCTCAGGGCCCAGATACTTCCTGTCTCATCCCCTGGCCATGTGTTATAAGCTGAATCATTTCTCTGCCCCCACCCCAATTCATAAATTAAAATCCTAACCCCTAGTAGCTCTGAATGTGACTGTATTTGGAGACAGGGTCTTTAAAGAGATCATTAAAGTAAACTGAGGTCATTCAGGTGGGCCTCATCCAGTATGACTGACGTCTTTATAAGAACGGGAGAATGGGACACAGTGGAAGACCATGTGAGGACACAGGGAGAAGGCAGCCATCTATAAGCCAAGGAGAGAGGCCTCAGAAGAAATTAACCTTGCCAACACCTTGATCTTGGACATTCAGCCTCCATAATTGTGAGAAAACAAATTCCTGTTGTTTAAACTGTGAAACATTGCCATAAGTTGAAGCCATTTAAAACAGAACTAGGGAAGCCTTGTGTGTCTTAATCCTCTAACCTTTGGAATGTTTGAACTGGGAAAAATAATCTTTGGACTGGGCCAGACCAACATTGTATTTCAAACAAACGTTTGCAAGTTAATCAGAAAGGAGGCATCCTGACTATTGGACTGATAGGTAAGGACGTTCTTTAGAATGAGCATCACCATGTATAGCTAAAGAAAAAGTTAGCCTATTTGCTCCTTCAGAAATTTTTCCTTTATTCACGTAATTATGCCTCTTCCTTTACCTCGTAAAAACCCCTTGCCTTCACCCCCTAATCAAAAAATTATTCGGGTTTGAAGAGGTTCAGAGCAGACCTCCCCAAGATGAGCTACTTAGGCATGTAAATTATTCTGAGCTGAAGGCAATGGAGACCCTACAGTCTCATGAGAAACTTTTACCTCTCCCTTAAAGGATTTAAATTTGGGTCCTTGCCCATAATAAAAGTTATCACCAGAAATAAATTTTCATGACCTATCTACAGAGCAGGGCAAACATCTAATTTCTGGACAGATGTTCTCCTGTGAATGACCTTCCTCCCCTCTGAAGCTCCAAGGCACCTTACCTCATCCTGAGCTCAGAATGCCATGTATATAATTTTCCTTTCTGTCCCTGAACCTCTCATGTATGTGGGTCTCTGACTCTCCCATGTATGCAGGATTCCCAAACATGTATGTGTAATTAAATTTGGTTATTTTCTCTTGTTAATCTATCCCATGTCTGCTTGAATATTAGAACAGCTGGAAGAACCTAGAAGGGTTGAGGAAATCCCCCCCTCCCCCCAGGTTTCTGCCTGAATCAGTGTTTCCCAAATAGCTATTCTTTTTTTAAATCTCAAATAAACACTTGTTGCTTCTCAATTTGGTCTTTTATTTTCAGGTTATCAAAACCAACTAGTCAGTGTTTTTTTATGGCAGCCCAAGCGAACTTATACAGCATGTCTAGGAAGGCCTTATTAAGTGGGCAAAGGGGCTATTTCTTGGCATAGACCCCTCTCTAGGAACCATAGGGCAGGACGTGTAGCCTGGGAGGGTTGTCTGAATGGAGCTCCATGTGGAAGGAGACAAACTCCTCCCTGCCCCCTGATCCATACTAAATGTCCATCTGAACCCAGAATGCATAAGATGGTTACATGGGAGAGGCCAGAGGTCAGATTCAGAAACATGTGCCTTGCTCCGAGCTGACTCATGTCTGTTCTGTGAGAGGGGAAAGGATGAGTGGCTGCCCTGTGTCTGAAGTCCTTATATTTTGGATCTCTTTAAAAAGAAAAACAAGCCCTAGCCAGTGTGGTTCAGTGGTTAGAGTGTCGGCCTGCTCACTGAAGGGTTGTGGGTTTGATTCCACGTCAAGGGCACAGACCTGGGTTGCAGTTTCGATCCCCAGCTGCCCCAATTGGGGCATGTGTGGGAGGCGACCAATGGATCTGTCTCTCTCACATCGATGTTTCTCTCTCTCTTCCTTCCACTTTCTCTGAAAAGCAATGGAAGAAATATCCTTGGGTGAGGGTTAAAGAAACAAACGAACAAACAAAATAAACACAAAAAAAGTAGCCTGTAAAACTATGTAAAGCAATGCAGGCTTTTTACAGCAGAGCTCAGGAATCCCTTGTCTTTTCCAGAGCAGCCACAGACTTACAGGGCCTTCAGCTGCGCCTATGGGTCAGATTATTCACATAAGAATGGGAGTTTTGGACGAGGCCGAGGAGAAGCCCGAGCCTGTGGGGACATCCTGAACTGCTGTCTGAAGTATGAGTAATGTAGCTGCCTTGGCGGCACCGCAGCTGGCTGCTGTCCAAGCCCTGAGCGAGTCAGGACTAACCGAGCTTCCTCTGGGAGGGAGGAAACAGTTAAAGTCCTGCAGGGCTGCAGTCATCTGGGCGTGGCCCTCTGTCTGACTTGAGCTCAGGATCCTGGGCCAAGGAGCAGAGGCAGGGAAGCTCGGCAGCGCCTTCCAGATGGCTGAGCTGGACCTGATGGCTCCAGGGCCGCTGGCCGGGATCGCCGCTCACTCCCTGGCCACCCTCAGCCCGGACTCGGGGTCAGCCAGCCCGGCAGAAGAGAACAAGGGCTCCCTGGGGAGCCCCCAGGGGGAGGCTGAGGGACAGGGCGCCGGCTCTGGTGGCGAGGGAGAGGAGGAGATCCTGTGTGACTTCTGCCTCGGGGCCCGCAGGGTGAGGGCGGTGAAGTCCTGCCTGACCTGCATGGTGAACTACTGCGAGGAGCACCTGCGGCCACACCAGGAGAACAGCAAGCTGCACAGCCACCAGCTGGCCGAGCCGGCCAGGGACCGCGACCTGCGCACCTGCCCTGCCCACTGCGGCCCGCTGGTGGCCTTCTGCTGCCCCGACCGGCAGTGCATCTGCCAGGAGTGCGGCCAGGGCGAGCACAAGGGCCACGCCTCGGTCTCCCTGGATGTTGCCCGCAGGGACAAGGAGGTGGGTACTGGGGCCCCTCTGGGAGAGGGGGTGGGGAGCCGGGGAGCCCAGGGAGAGGCCGAGCCACTGCCAAGCGCCCAGGGGCGCTCACTCCACTGCTGTGCTCGGAGTTCGCCCGAGAAGCACTGTGCCCTGTTCATCCAGGGTCAGTATCTGCTTCACCTGGCGCTGGAGACGGAAGTGGGTGACCCTGTCCCCGCCCCTGTGCTGCCTCTCTGTGCCTGCCTCCTGGTGCGGCCGGTTGCCTGCTGTTCCTCACGCCGCTTCCGCCCATTGTCCCGCCTTCGGATGTGGGGTGCAGCGATGCTCCCCTCTGCCTGGATCTCTGTGGCAGTTAACACAGTGTGAACTTGGCAGAGATTCAAGAGAGAGGAATCAAACCTTTCCCCTCATTTCTCCTTCCCTCTACCCCAAACAAGAGACCAGCAGAAAGTGCCCCCCTAGAGGTACCGGGGTGAAATTCAAGAGCTTGAAAAGTGCTAAGATAACATAGAGTTGGAAACTTCCCTCCAGGTACAATGTCAAGGGTGGCTTCACTCGGGGAAAATAAAAGTTCCTTATCAGATAGAGGTATCAGGAGGGACTGAAAAAACACCATGCTCATAGCCTGTAATTTTATTCCCATCAGATAGGGAAACGGTTTCTAGAACAACTAGCCCTACAGCTGACAGCCTAGAGTTCTTGGGAATGGATTTAGCAACTTTGTAGAGCATTTCTCAACCTTAAACTTCTGGGGAGCAGTTTTTTGTTCCAAGCGACAAAGTGCAGCTGACTCTTGTCCTATGTTCCTTATATTCACACTGAGGGTGGTCTGTCTGCACTGCGAGCGGGGTGA